CTGGCTCCTACCCTGGGGGTCTTTAAGAGGAGGCTAGATGTACACCTTGCTGGGGTCGTTTGACCCCAGTACTCTTTCCTGCCATGGCAGGGGGTTGGACTCGACGATCCGCTCAGGTCCCTTCCGACCCTAGAAACTATGAAACTATGAACTCGGCTTATTTAGTCTGCAGAAGAGTAGATGAGAGGGGTTTTAATAGAAGCCTTCAACTACCTGAAGGGTGGTTCCAAAGAGGATGGGGCTGGACTGTTCTCATTGATGGCAGATGACAGAACAAGGAGCAATGGTCTCAAGTTGCAGCAACGGATATTAGGAAAAGCTCTCTCACTAGGAGGGTAGTAAAGCACTGGAACAGGTTACCCAGAGAGGTGGTGGAATCTCCATTCCTGGAGGTTGTTAAGACTTGGCTTGACAAAGCCCTGGCTGGGATGATCTAAGTGGGGATGGTCCTGCCTTGAGCAGGGGGTTGGACTAGTTGACCTCCTGAAGTCCCTTCCAACCCTAATTTTTGTATGATCCCATGACTCAGTAGGATACACCCTGAAGGGAGCACCATGCTTTGGAAAGGGCAGGGGCAAAATGGGAACTGCAAGGAGAGTAGGTTATTACTTGCATCTAGTTATATAGCACAATCAGTGCTTACAGCAAATAAAACAGGCATGGGACCCCAGACATGAACAAGTCCCTGCCCCAGTGACTGTACAGTTCTACCACCACAGACATAGCTGGAATATATCACACAATGGGGGACTTCAGTGTTTATTGGAAGAAAGAAGCGATGATGCCATTAAAGATCAGATACAATGTTTTGAAAATTAGATTTACCTACCAGTCCTTTCTCCTTTCTAAGCTGGGATAAGGGGTATGTTTAGAATAATAAGCTCCTGAGATACTGATGCTCTCCTCTACCAGCTTCTTTGATTCCCAGACACTGAGAACAAAGGAGGAATGGCTTCGAAGAAATCAGACCTCAGGCCCAACCCACATTCTGAAGGCAAGAGAGCCAACAAAGGAAGACTCATTTAAGAACTAATTTAATTGAATTAATCAGAAGTGAACCACAACCTCATATCTGCTTTCCATGGTGGTTAATCACAACTAGCAACATCTCCTTGCTACACTTCCTGACTCTGTAATGTCACAGAATGCAGGTGGAGCCACAACCATTCAGAGTCTACAGGTAGCAACTCCATTTTATGGAAGAGATGGACCCAAGTGCAGAGGCAGAAGGAGAGAGGCCTTCCTTAGCACACACATTCCAGTTCAAACAAGTTGAGAGAAACTCTATCCACACAGTTCCTCCCAGCAAGATGCAACGCTACAGGCACAATGCATCTTGCATGAATGCTGTAGCTGAACCTGCCCTTAGGCTGTGAAGCAAGTACCAAGTATTGGGCACTGAATATTGTTTTTTAATTAGTGTCGCGCACAGCATGCTCTTTGGTAGTGCTTTACACTTTGATTTATATGCTGCCCTTCCCCCCAAAAAAGGGCTCAGGACAGCTTACCTGACAAAAAATAGAAGACAAAAAATTATAGAAATGAAATAAAATATTAAAATAAGAGGGCACCACAAAAAACTCCCCACCCTCCCAAATTCAAAGGCAATCCATCCCCCTCTGCTACTTACCTGCCTCTGATTAAAGAAAGAAATCCCTCACCCAGACCAGCCTTGCTTTCCAACCCACATCTAATACCTCGGTAAAATAAAACAAAAATCCCCCTCCTCCCTTAATATTTCCCCCTGCTTCTACCCACTCCCACTCCCCTGCCTCTCTCCTCTGGGTGATCCCCCCTTACTGTCTCTCCCTAGCCCTCCCAAAGGAAGCCATGGCTGTCCCCCAAACCTAGTTCAGCTTTGGCTGGACACATGATACAGGTTTACTAGTGTGATTTACATTGGTTTTGCATACTGATGTGAATTACACAAGGAGCCTGAGTGAACAGATGAGCAGCTCTCCAGGAGCAGCTGCTTGAAATACATGCTATTATAGGACTTTGTGACTAGGAGGCAGGAGACAGGTAATAGTCTGTTTGCCTTAAGCAAAGGGCCACCCAACAACGGAGGTACAGAAGCAACTTCCTATCACAGTACAACATACATCAGTGTACTTTTACTACTGGTTTTTCTGGGATTTTTTTTTTTATTCAAGGCACTCATAGAATGATAGAAAATGATGGTTGGAAGGGACCTCAGGAGGTCATCTATTCCAACCCCCTGCTCAAAGCAGGACCATCCCCAACTACAGCATTCCAGCCAGGGCTTTATCAAGTAGGGCCTTAAAAACCTTGAAGGATGGAGTTTCTACCACCTCTCTAGGTAACCTGCTCCAGTGCTTTACCACCCTCCCAGTGAGAAAGTTTTTCCTAATATCCAACTTAAACCTCCCTTGCTGCAACTTGAGACCATTACTCCTTGTTCTGTCATCTATCACCACTGAGAACAGTCTAGCTCCATCCTCTTCGGGACCACCCTTCAGGGAGTTAAAGGGTGCTATCAAATCCCCCCTCAGTCTTCTCTTCTGCAAACTAAATAAACACAGTTCCCTCAGCCTCTCCTCATATGCGCCCCAGCCCCTGAACCATTTTTGTTGCTCTCCAGTGGACTCTCTCCAACTTGCCCACATCCTTTCTATAGCATAAATGTTTTCACCTGTTCCTGTAAAGGCTGGTTGCATCCATGAAAATGTGTTGCATGTCCAAATCCTTTAATTGCATCTGGCTAATAAACTTTGGACTAAGGACTGGCCTGCACATATATCTTGATTCTTTTCTGAAGGGCGGTGCGATAGTTCTGCCCGATGGTTTTTCCCTATGGGAGTTGAGGATGGTTCTTAAAAGAACCCAGGACTGCAAACAGAGTCCTACATAATACTTAATGGTTCCGTGTTCTTTGCTGGGGCTTTTGAATCAGAGGTGTAACAGGGAAGCTCTTCACCCTGGACAGTGGTAGCACACAGGACAATAGCCGTGTGCTCTGCTGGCAGCTGCACCTCAGCTGCTACTTTAGCAGCCCCCTGTCTCAAGCAGGCACCCAGGTATCCTGTCACCCTTCTTTAGCTATACAATCAAAATGAAGTGTCTGTATCGCCATTTAGGCACTAACGGCCTCTTGAAGGTCAGGCTACTAGTATGCAGCTGGCTCAGCATTGAGTAGGAGCCTACTGCTTTGGGGTTGAGAATGTTAGCTGCTGTGTTGTGAGGTTTGCCTTTTGCTGTCCTGCAGTGGCTGGCATGGGAACTGCAAAGATTGGAGCAGTTTTCACTGTGCAAGTCTCCTGTCATTTTTAGACGCTTGGGACAAGCCATCATGGATTCATAGATTGTAAGGGGCTAGAAGGGACCTCACAAAATCATTGGGTCCGGCACCCTGCACTAGGCAGGAAAGACAACTGTGGTCAGGTGACCACAGCAAGGTGACTGTCCAGTCTGAATGCCCTGACTGTGAAGAAGTTTTTCCTAGTGTTAAGCCTGAAATGGTCTTCCAGGAGTTTGTAGCCATTATATCTGGTTTACCCCAAGGGTGCCCTGGTGAACAGTTGTTCGCCAAGCCCTTGATGTATTCCGCTGATGTAGCAGTAAGCTGCTAACAAGTCCCCTCTCAGGTTTCTCTTTTTTAGGCTGAAGAGGCCCAAGTCCCTCAGCCTTTCCTCGTATGGCTTGCCTTGCAAGTCTCTGATCATATGGGGGACTCTTCTCTGGACTCTCTCAAGCTTTTCCACATCCTTCTTGAAGTGCGGCACTCAGAACTGGACACAGTACTCCAGCTGCAGTCTCACCAGTGTCTAATGCTCATTTTGCCTGGGATTTTCAAAGCAGCTCAAGGGATTTAACCCCCCTCCTTTGTATTCAATTCACTGAAGCTAGTTGTGGAATAAGGTACTGCTGAACACAAGTGAGGCTAGCACTTGTTAGCCTACTCCTAGGCAAGTCAGAGACCTTTGAAGCTAGGGCAAACTAGGGTCCCAGTCTCACGGAAAGTCTATGGACTTGGGTGCCTCAGGCCTTGCCTGTATAGCAGAGAACCTACTAGACTCCAGACTAGCACCCGCATGCATATTGCACCATCCTTCTTCCTAAACCAAAAGCAGTGGAGCTATGTTTGTACAACACTGTTGGTGCACTGTCACCATAACAAAGAAGTACTCAATTAGTTTATCCAAAGCACCACACGGGCATGATTATATTCCCTGAGAGGTGATGGAATCTCCATCCTTGGAGGATTTTAAGACCCAGCTAGACAAAGCCTTGGCTGGGATGATCTAGTTGGGGATGGTCCTGCTTTGAGCCAGGGGTCACTAGATCACATTCTGATGTCCCTCCCGACTCTCATTTTCTATGATTCTTCCCAATTTAAGAAACAGCCCATCCAGAGCAGCACAATGCAAGACACCACCACCCTGCAGTGCAGCGGGTTTATAGGGCAGACACAGCCGAAGTCACTTAGACACTGCTGCAAACATGAGTCTCAGGGTAATAATTGAACCAAGAAGTGCAGGCCATATAAAACTGGGGAAGTTTCTGTTTGGCTTTGGCATGGTCTAGGAGCAGAAAATGTTCTGAGATGTTCTGTGAGGTGACAGTCGCTAGCTTCCTGGTGATTATTACTCAAACAGGAGTTGAAGACAATCACACTAAACAAGAAAGGATTTTTTTAAAACCATTTTTAATAACATTACACAATACATTTTTATAGTACATTTTAGACCACTCCTATATTCCCCCATTGATAGTACTGCAAAACATTTCCCATTCTGTCTTTAGGTCAGACATTTATTCCTTTGACGAAATGTTCTAGCGCAGATACAAACTGTGGCTTTATAAAATGTGCGGCAAACAAGTCTCACCCAGCTAGTCAATCAGTGCCTGAAGTACATGGGTCTGGTACTCCTTGAGTGAACTTGGTTTCCTATATTTTCTCACAGGGAGGTCTCCACAAGAAGTAAATGTTCCCTTCCTGCTAAAAACAGGATTGCGAAGACTCACTTGGTTGCTTAATATTAGGCACTGTGAGATACTGCTTTGACTTTGCAGGGGCTACTCACCATCCTCGGTGTCTTTGCAGTACCAAGACCTTGGAACCCCAAACCAAAGTAACAGCCATTAGCAGGAGATTTGCCATGAAAATAACATTAACCTTATTGCTCAAACTATACAGTAAGGACCCATGATTAAAGCTACTAAAGTGGAGAGCCTCACATTTTTGGTGTCCAACAGATGAAGTCCTGACCCTTACAGTTGCTATTGACTTTGTCTGGAGCAGTGGGGACTCGCATAGTGACCAGGAAAAAATCAGGCCCTAGGTGTTTCAGTCTGGGCGCTCAAAATGTTTGGTTCCTTTTTGAAACATTGACCATGACTGTTTCATCCTTATACCTATGTGACTATTTAGTCCTTTGGAGAATGCCTTTCATGTGAGCCTTTAATTGAGTATGAAATATTTCAGAGATCAGTTTCGTGAAGGGACTCAACACTACCTCTAACTTTTGTGCCTACAGGTGCAAAATTACAGATGCAAATAAAAGGCTTTGGGCAGCTACTCACCTGTGCCCAGGAACCATGAAGTCTGGCATTTTCAAAGGACCAGAAGGCATCTAATTGTTCAGATAATACTGAAAGTCCCTAAAATTCAAATACCCAATTCCTTCTGGCTCCTTGAAAATCCTGGCTCAAACTACTTTGGATCACACTCTCAGAGAAGGTTCCCTACAGTAGGTTCACTATTCTAGTCAGATGTTGGCTTCTGAGATATGCTTCTTGGATCTCAATTTCAAAACGTCTGTAATATGCCACATATTTCTTACTCTAAGTTCTGCTGACAGAACCACAGTCACATAGATGGGCTGAACAAACCAAGCCAACATAAAACCAAGCACCAAAAACCATAAAACCATATCAGAACATGTGCTACATGGGCTGGAGGTCATTGTATTGTATGACAGAAGCCATCAAAGGAGTGTATTAAAGTGTCAGTGTCTTATTGCTACATCATATGGAGAACATGATGCACCCTGAAGTTCTGGCCCTTCACTGAGACCTTTACTGTATATAGAGATCTTTTGACTTGGGTGAGACTCCATACAAGAGGACCTTCCAAAGCTGAAGTCCTAGTGCTGGTCTGGATGAGGTAGCTGCTGGCTGGTTGCACGGGACTGGATGTAGCTGTCAGTGATCTTGGCTGGCATTTCCTCTAATTTCTTTCTCTTCCGATCAAGTACATAGGGAGGGGCCACTGAGTCTGTGACATGCTAGATCCCTAGAAAGTGATAGCTCACCTCCTCACGGGGTATTGTTAAGGTGAGGTATCAGTAAACATCTGGCTAAGCCATGGACATCCAGTGTATGGCACATATGCTCAGTGACTTGGGCTTGATTCTGCTGCTGAGTGGTGGGAAGGAGCTCAGCTCTGCTTAAGATTGGTGGATCTGGGCCACAAACTGGAGGGGTTTGGGTTTTTCAGAGCTTTAGTAATCAGATTTAGGTGGGAGAGCTGCAACCTCCATTCCAGTTCAGTGGCTGGCTGTGGGACACAGACTCTTCTTTGCTTCCTGATGGCAGGGAGGAAGAACTCTTTCCTGTGTCAGAGCTTCAATGTCCCTTTGACTAACGAGGTTGTTTTCTAGGTCTCATTTAATTTTCACAGTTCTGACAGGCTTTTAATGCCATCTTCTGTTTCTGGAGGAGTGCAACAGTCTAACACCCATGGCTGCTGGTTCTCCACCAGCTCTGTGGTGAAGCAGTGCAGGCACTCAGCAGCTAGAGGGAAATACACCGTATTGAATTGCAACCAGACAGGCAATCAGAAAACTGCATTCATGGCTCCCTCAAGGGGAACTTCTTACTTGATTTAAAATAAAACAAAACAAAACAGTAGCCAAAACAATTGATCACAACAGGCAGGAAGTAGCAGCGTTAGTAGAAACCTGGATTATTCTTCAGTGTCTGTAGGGAATGTATTTTTTTTTAAATGGCAAAGTCAAATGGAAGGGTTTGACTCTTTGCAATATATTCTGAGCGTGTATGTTCCCCTCCAGTGGTAGGCCACGGTTATTCAGAGCTCTGCCTCCTCTCTGAATTTACTGGCATTAGGAAGGCCACAAGTGAATCCAACAGCAATCCCAAGGGCAACAAGACCTATGTACATTAAATAATATTTTGGTATTACAGGCTTGCATGGTCCTGCAGTTTCGCTCACTTGGGATTTTACAGGCCAGTTTTTGAAGTAATCCAGTCCCGATAATAAGTCACTCGAGTGTAGACTCCAGGCTTGTTTGGTTTGGCACATTCATCTCCCCAGCTCACAATTCCCACAAGGTACCAGATGCCTCTAGAATCTGGAGTAACCAGTGGCCCACCAGAGTCACCCTGCAAGGTGAGAGAGAGAGAGAGATGTAATTCAGCCAACAGGAACTGATAGCAAACTGGTGGATTTACCTGGATACTAGAGCAGCTGCCAAACCTAACCATTTGAATTCCATTAAGAGGAAAAGTAGCATTGCACTTGAGAACAAGCCTGCAGGTGGCTAAGTTATTTCTGGTATTTGCACACAACTTTGAGAGAAGAAAAGTACTATGTTCTCTAGTCTCAATGTATGAAGGATGGGCAGTGCCAATAAAGGGCGTATATAATATGTCCTTCTGACCTTTAGTGGTGTTGTCCTTTGGTGAAGTCCAAAAGACCCCATTTGCTGCATACAGGCAAGTCCCAGCTGTTCGTACCCACCCACTGCTGCCCTGGCAGCTTCTATATCATACAAACACAATAAGCACTATCAATGGCACTCACCAACACCTTAACGGGAGACAACCCAATTTCTATACACTAAAAAGAGCTTTGGCATGAAACCTAGGGATCCATTAAAAGCCACTTTTATTTTAGCCTCAATACAGATTTAGGACCAATGTCTTTCAAAGCTGTATGCTCCTAAATCCAGGCTCCTATATTCTTACCTAGCCAAGTAAATATGCAGCTGGATTTGCAAGAGTGCCAGCACCCAAACAACTCCCACTGACTTTTAGAGGGGCAAGTGGATAATCAGGTGCCCTGAGTAAGGGCTAGGAACCTAAATTTAGGCACACAGCTTTGATAATCTTAATCTTAAGCCCTTTTGCCCATGGACTTTCTTCATAGGCTTTTGCATCTGTGAAAAAGGCATAATAATTTTTCCTAAGATAGTTTATAAGAGCATCTAGAAGATTAAAAGTGCTAGGTATCATTTAATTGTCATAATTATCTAAACTGAGTACATTTAGGTGAAATAAAATATATCATCTCAAAGCAGTCAACCAGTCTGCAGAGTTCACTGCTGCAGACAGTCTGAGAAGGTCAAGTGCCTTAGCTGGAGGTATGAAAGGATTGGGGGTGGGGTGTACAAAAGATGCTTTTTTGCCATTTAAAGTGCTTTATTGCCATGACTTAACAGGACTGCATGGCTTTGCAGAACTTTAAAAATGGGTACAGCACTTTAAATCAACCCTTGTTTAATGAGATATTAAATTTGAAGTGCTGTATTTTACAGCACTTCAGCAACCTACAGCACGTTAAATAATTTCTGTATGCTGGTCAAATTTCTGACCATTGGAGAAGCCCCAGGAGGCTGTGAAATGGCCCCTGCCTCCTAGCCTGAAAAGTGCAGGGAGGCTTAGAGCCCCTCCCTCTCCTCCACCAAATACTGTACTTCTGCCATGTTTAGGAGTACTGTAACTTTATAGTGCTATAAAAAGTGCTCTAAATTACAGTGCTGTAAAATGTGCATGGAGCACTTCTGTGATTTTATGACTAGCAGTAAAATTTGTTGTTTTAAAATTTATGAATGCTTTAAAGCTGGTAAACTCATCTCATCTCAAGTTTGATCACCTGCAATGGCCAGGAACAAATGGTTTCTCAGTTATGGTATTATCAGATCAGATGGCATATAATGAGTGAAGCTGAGGGAATTCAGGATTTTCTTATGCAGTTACAAACTTACTATATATTAGAAAGTCCATTACTTGAGCTAGCTGCATCCAGAACCCCTTTGTAATATCAAACTGTTCAGTGCATGAAATGCACCTTTAGTGAACTTTTACACAGACAGCATGCATATACAGTTTTCCATGTATTGATTATTGCAATTTTTCGTAAGTTGTTAAACTGTTCTTTCTCTTTTAGTTATCATCACTAGCACTTATACCACATGCCCCACAGGTTGGTGGCATGCTCTGTGTTCCTATAACTGAATGGTTCAAATAATTGACTTTCTACTGAACCATTCCTATAACTGAATGGTGCAAATCATTGACTTTCTACTGTACATTTTGTAGACTGAAAGTCCTTTGGG